CATACGAAATCGCATTGTTAATTCATGTCATTGGTTTACTTAACGGATATGTTTGCTCAAAAAAAAAAATAAAGTTTACTTAACGGATATAAATTATCAACCAGAATGGTTAACCAAATTTGAAAAAATGTACGTCTTTCAACGGAATTTTTTTAACCTGACTATAACATTTATTTCAACATTCAAGTTTTATTCTTCGTTTTTTTCTTTAACGTCTCAAAGCATTCTTCGTTAACTCTTCTTTATTCCTCTCATTATTATGTTCAACCTTTTTCGTTTTCGTTCACCAAATTTCTGAAAAACGTACTTATATGCATTTGATACCAAGTGTGTAAAATGTATATAAATACATTTAAGCGATTTTGTTCGTTACATAGAGCGCTTGCTTTATAAAGGTTTGTTGTTGGGTCCTTAAACGTTATCAAATTGAATCAAATTTTTACTATCTGAGAGCATAAAGGAAGTGAAACTTTGCAATGCCAATCAACCTTTTAGAACGGATCAGAAGCATTTCAAAATATCATTAGATTTATTCTAAAAATAAATAGTATTGTTTTGAAACTTTARAATCGTTTTTGAATTTGGAAGTGTATGATCGATCCGGTGACACTAAAAACATTAGGCTTAATGTTTTGCACCAACAAAACTAATTTAATTCTGGCTCACTAAACCGATGTAATTGAAATTTTAATTTGGGTCAAAGAGCAAGTAAAACACTCGTTAGAAAGCTTTAGTGAGCCAAATTAAAAAATCTAATTACATTGACTCAGGCCCAATATTAATTTGAAGCCCATATACGAGGCGACGTGTTTAAATCTCCTCCTCTAATTAAATATCGCCCAAAGATTCTTCTGTACTTATTTTAATTACCATTGAGCTTTGACTATTGTGTCTGGTTTTGGATTTCTCTTCACAAGATTATAAAAGAAATGAATAAAATAAGCTTCAAAAATTTGTCCGCCAAGTCTATATATTAATTATTTAAATATCATATACAGTAGAAAATTG